CTCTCTCTCTCTCTCTCTCTCTCTCTTTCTATCTCCACAAAGCGGCGTTTTTAACCGAAGGTCCTGAATCAAGACGGCCCTTACGACGCGTTCACCTTCCTCGCGTTCCCCCCTCGTAAAAATCCCTCCGTTTACGCACCGCCAACGTCTCGAGCACCAAACCGGTCGCGAGTTTAATGTAATTTTCGCGGTGCTTACCGTAGTAAAGAGATTACGTTAACACGTGTCCCACGGCGTCGGCTCAACTGAATTTCAGGCTACTGCGGCTCCTTCTCTTTATTCCCACCTGGCGTGGACAGGTGCTGCAGGTGGCACCACCTTCCGATCGACGACCCCCTGCCGCTTACCGATCCCGCCGTCGTTTTGCAGAACGATCGAACGAGAATAAATTTCCGAGGAAAATGCCTCCTTTCTTCCTCTCTCTCTTTTCGAAGCGATCGATTATTAAAAAGGAAAAAACGATTTGAAACGAATTGAATGAATGATAGAAAAATGATTAATATGTGCTTCATGTGAAATCTCTTTCTTCTTTACCGATGTTTGTATAACTCATATATTCACGCCTCTCTTGGACCGCATCAACGATTATAAAAAAAAATACAAGATGAAAACAAAATCCTCTTTTCCCGAACAAACTGAGTTCGTAAATAGTTTATCGTAGAGAATTTATGTGAATGCGCGCAAAAAGGCCGTTAAAGATTCGTGGGGAGTCTTGAAATAGAAAGACTCTTCCTGGTCCTTTAATCCTACAAAAATTTTTTTTAAAGAGTCATTTTTTTCCTCCTTCGACCTTACGACTCTTGGAAAACTGTTTCTTGTTGATCCACAATATCCAGGAAATTATCTTCTCCTCCTGATTTCCAATTATTGGGAGAAGTTACTTTCTTACTTTTTGCAAAAAAAAACCGCAGGGATAACCGCACCGAATTTTTAACCGCGTTTTTGCTCGCACACATGGGGTGTTCCCGAACGGTGCTCTTCCGGGCCGGGGCTCGTAAGGCTACTTTTTCTTCTCATGAAGGAGAGAATGTAATGGTAGTGCTATTCTTTTGTATAAAAGAAAACGATCGCTACGAATTTTTAACCATGTACATGAATAAGTGTGCGGGCGTTTCAAGCTAAAGGAGCTGGGGCATATGTGTTCTTTCACCAAACAGATGGTTTTTTTTATCACAAACCGATTTAAAAAGTACATTTATATTCTACTTTTTTACGAGACCTAGAGATGATCCCTACGAATTTTTAACCGTGTTTTCACTCGCGCGTTCACGTTTCACATGGAAGGAAGCCTTTCTGAATTTCCGTATTAGGCCAAACTTTTAAGGGAAGCTATTTTTTTCTTTTAATCCACAGCTTTTTAGAGTATAGTCATATTCGTTTCATATTCGCTCCAAATTTAATGAAGCAAAATATGTGAGTTTGTAGGAAAGAAATCTCTGTATATATTACTTTTTTATAAAAAAAAATATATATATATATATTATGTGAAAATATATAAAACTTACAATTCTATTCGTCAATGTTGTTTTAAAATCATCAACATACATTATTGTATATACACATAATAACATTGATTCAATAATTTGCTAAGAAACGTTCTTCTGCTTCACTGGATTTTACGAGTATCAAGAAAGCTGGCGTACCACCGCGAACTACAAACCTGAAAGAATAATTTGGATATTAAATATATAATCTCCTTATGTTTTTTTATAAATATCGATAATGCTTACTGCTTGTCTCGTAATATCTCGCCTAACGTGAGTTGAACATCTACTGTATGAACGGAGCATTTGTTTTTGCCTTCGAAATATATGTTTATATTGTTCACAGTATAACGATGTTTTACGTCCCAGTCAAGAGGTTTCTCAAACATTTCGATTAACTGATCGATTAATCTATAAAAGAATAATAAAAAATATTTATAAAAAAATTTTAACGATATATTTTAACAGATAGAAAGAACATACAATGTATCTTCGTGAAAATTTTGTACAAAGTCAGTTTGCTGAGCTTCTGGGTATAAAAACATCACTGGCCACACGAGCTTATCTCCCTCGAGATGCACTTTACATAGCGCTATTTGCGGTAATTGCGGCTCTAAATCGTTCAATTCTAACTTTTGTTTGGCATTCATTAGTTCTAAAGTAATACCCCTTCTTAGAATTATTTCCAACAATTTCTCCTCCTCCTTCTCCAATTTTTTCTCTGTTCTTTCTTGCTTCCTCTTATCTCTTTGCAAAGATTTCTTCAAGAGCAAAAAAACAATTGGCATTAATAAGAACTTATGCTTTTATAAGTCGGTTTTATATCTGATCTTATTAAGATGGCTTACTTGTGCAAGTACAGCATCAGCTCTTAATTTCAATATTCTTTTATCATTTGGATTGTTATTAAGAAATTGTTCACATAAATCAATGCATTGAGTATAATCTTTAATGTGAAAACAACAAGTAGCAGCTCGACTTAAAGCCTTTGGATATTCCGGCTTGAACTTTAAGGCCAGCTTACAATCATTTAAACACGATCTAAATATAACTTTTATTAAATTAAAATACAAAAGCTTTATTATTAGCCTCAATTATTCAATAAGATCTATCAGAAGGCTCATTTACCTATAATTCTGCAACATGAAATGTGCTGCAGCCCTATTATTGTGAAGTTGAGCCATCAAATCATTATCTTTACATTTGGTTCTTATCCCTTCTGTATAACTAAGAATAGCAAGACGATACTTTTTATATTTATAATTAAAATTTCCATCTTCTTTGTAATTGGTTGCCAATTCTGCAAATATTGCACATGAATATTTCACAGCGGAGTTAAGTAACGGAGTTAAGTAAGTTAAGTAACGTGCTTCTTTTGCTTGTAAGAAAACTCAAGCAGTGAACCAATTGAACAATCATATTCAAGATCTTTAAAATAATTTTACATCTTTAATAATTTTCAACTTAATGGATCGATTTGCTTACTATTAAAATATTACTGCTTTTCCATGTATTACTAGCTTAACACTAACAATGAAATTAAAGATAAATTGTACCAATTAATTTATTTAATCTAATATCGAAGAACGACCTTCAGGAGTATTCTCATCTTCTCCATATTTGAGTTTCTGCAGTCCCTCCATCAGAGGAGACAGTTCTTCGCCGGGTTCCGGCGCCTTTTTCATGAAGAAGGGATGCTTCTCCATCTCCTCTTGCCACCTGTCCTCTGGCCATCCTTCCGTATAACTCTTTTTTTCTAAACTATTTATGTACTCATCCAGTTCGGCATCTAATTTCGCAGCAAGCTCCAAACGCTCCTCTTCCGTCCAAGTTTTCTTCTCTTCATTGACTTCTCCGGTCCGCTGCATATTATTTACACAAAGAAAGTATTGCACGCATAGACACAAATGCGAATACGCAAAACATAACCTCAAAATTCATTCCGATCTGCCTTGAACTCCACGTGAGAACAGTGAGCATAAGAGAATAGTAAATGATAATTTATTTCTGATTTTACCGACTGCTCAGGATCTGAAGATGGCGCTGGCTGTGCATTCTACATGTTTTTTAAACTCACTTTTTGACATGCGTTTCGAAACGCACTTTTTTACAGTTATAAAACTAAATAATTAAAATATATATTAAATATATATTTAATTAAAATGATATGAAATTAAATATTTAAGTTTAAATAGAAAGAACAGAGAAAAAAATTATAGAGAAATAAAAATAATTAATTGGACATCATTGTGTTAATTATAGAAATGTAGAAAAAAAACAAGGACGGGAAAGTCAAATTATAAAATATAAAATCAGAAATTAAAGAAACATACAATTCAGTGGTGCATATAATCATGTCATATTTAATTAATTATATTAATACAATTTAATGAATGTACTCATTATTTATTTGATAAATAACTGAATAACTAGTTTATAATTTGGTTTGAGTTTTTGTTTAAACTAATCTAAAATAAATAAAATAAACTAATCTACGTTTGTAACAGAAATCAAAAATTTCATGTGATATTAAAATTTGTAACGGTTAATAAAATATACGAAATTTTATAACACTTTATTTCTCAAATTTCAATTCGTATTTACAACTGTCATTTAATTTGTAAATGAATTTCTAATCTGCGATTCTAACCTTTTACAGAGTACAATGACAATATTGACGATTGAATGATTGATACAAGTTTCTGAAATAATTTTTATACAATTTATGGTAAATTCTGATAAATTTTTCTTATTCCTTCTCTAATTTTCCCCATTCTTTTAATAAAAATTCCATTCAAGATCGACATTATTAGAATTAGTTTTATAACTAATAAAAAAGATTAATACACAATAAGGACACAATTACTGTTGTTACATTATAATCATCGATTGTATTGTAATTATACATAACAAGCTCTTAATTCAACCGATCAATTCTAAACTCTAAATAATTCAAACTATTTCCAAAGTGCATTTATGTATCAGGTAGTTAATCAGTAGCCAGTTGCATCGATATTAGACTAACCCATATTAACTAAATCTTTTTCTTGCTCGATTTTAAAAAAAAATATTAAATTTCAAATAAGAATTGCTATATTATATGCTAG